GATTATGAGGTTATACGTAACACGTATTCTTGATTTTAAAATTTTCTTTGGTTTTTAGATACACATATAATTAGATACCACAACATGATTTCATATTTTATCAGACAAAACAATGCAGTTACCTTAGGTAGGGCGTAGTCGGGGTGCTAATACATTCCCTTTAAGCAACCAGTCTCCGTACCCGATCTCTAAAGACCAGTTAGGGTTCCTAGTTACCAGAATACTAGGTGGCGACTCCCATTCAATGTTTTCACTGATAAGAGACAAGAATTCCTTGTCTCTTCATATCTTGCTAAAAATACACCACATCCCATCGTTAGAATGGATGGTGGATGATCGCCGCGACGCCGCATCACGTGCGACACATGACATCTAAACTTATATGCGTGAGGTTAGTGGGCTTGATACTGGGCTTAAAAATGTTTATAGATCATCTTTAAGGGCTAGATTGTTATAAAAAAGGGCTTTGTCAACGAAAAATTGTTGAAAAAATATTGATATATCCTATGTCATCATTGAGAAATGAATATATAAGGCTTCCTCAAAGACAAATAGAACTGTTAAAAAAAGCCAACCATTTAGTAGCTTTCTATAAATTAAAATTGAAAAACAGAAGTGGATCTATTTTTTTTTTGTTTTTTAAATTGAGAGATGTTTACACACAAATACAAAGAATTTATCTTGAAAACAAGTAACAATATTAAAAGATTTCTTGTGATCATTTGTTGGAAAATTTGTTAAATAGTCAATAAGCATATTTTGTGTCAAATTAAAAGTAGAGTCCACTCTCTTTTTAGGTTAAACTTTATTAAAATTTAATCCCCAACAAAACTTCTTTAACATAAAATATTAACATATTTTAATTAAATTATAACTAAAAAAAATTGATCTTAAAAAACTATTGATTGATATATTTTCGTGAAACCCATAATCCTTTTAAAAAAACTCTTTTCCACATAGAAAAAAAATAAAACTTTATTGGTGTTTATAAAGTAAATAGTTGAAAAGTTGAATCCAAACTTAAAAAGCACTTAAACTTTTAAAGAAGAGAGAGGATCTAGGTAAAATGGGCTTTAAACGCATATTAGCCAGATTTATGCTTAGGTTTTGGATCGGGCATATGATTGAGTTTATTGTAAAATAATATTTTGAGTCATAAAAGATTAATTTCTTCTAACTAAAATTTGAACTTGGGCTTGGTCTATGAAGAATTATTTCTTTTCACGTGTTGTTTGTCTAGTCTAACATATAAAAGTTAATAATATCTTTTATAAGTTGTTGTTCCAAATCTGAATAGTTTTTTTAGCTAAAACAATATAGATTTATGATTACTATGTTTAGATTTAATTCTTAATTTATGGTGACTAATCAAATGTTGATGAGAATTAATTATGCTTGTTATCAAAATTAATTTTTCAACTTTAACTTCTAAAATCCACAAGGAGGGGGAGGGGGGTTGGGGCAGTATATATACCAATATCTTTTAAATTTTTTATGCACTCTTTGTCATCTCATATTTTTGTGTTTTTTTTTGCTTTCCTTTTAAATATAAAATTTAGGTTCATCTTTAAGTTATATAATTTTTGGTCGAGAAATCTTATTTAAAATGTATCTAAACGTAGGTGGTGTTGTGAAATATTTGAAGGTATATTGCAAACATTATAATTGCAATTGTAAAGAACAATAAAATCTTAAAAACAAATGATTCATATAAAAATTTTATTATTTCAAAATACTTCAATAAATAAGTATCCTTCTTTGTTTTAATTTAAACATATTTATTTTTATTAGTTTTATACATGTTAGGATTTTATTTGTATCAATTTCAAGTTTGAATAGATGTTTAACTAGAGAAGGGTCTCAATACACTATAGTTTTGTATTATTAGAAAAATATTTAGATGTCACAAACATATTTTTAAAAGCAAATCCAATAATCTAGATTATTGTTTCGATCAAATAAATAATTTAGTTTTATTTGAACAATATGAAAAAAAGAGACAATGCTAGCAAATGAATATAAAAAGAGACTATTATAAGTGATAACCATGAGAAAAACCTTTATTCATAAACAATATAAAAGGATAAAATAGAATAAAAAAAACCTTTGGTGTGAGTTAACCTAAATTAACATGTCAAATATATAATTCTAGAATAAGGGTGAGTCAATCCATGTTAACTCTTAAGACTTGTATTTTAGATTATAAGATTAATATAATTCAAGAGAAAAGAAATTAAAGAAATTAAAATAATTAATATAAAATTATTAAAAATAAAACCCCCGCCCCCCCCCCCCCCCCCCCCCCCCCCCTCTCTCTCTCTTTCTCTATCTCTCTCTCTCTCTCTCAGGGTTCTTATGAGGTATGCTTTTTTTTTTTTTCCTTTTCTTCTTAAGGCTATCCCTTTTTCTTGACAGTTGAAATTTGATCATTTTCAAGCTCTCTTTCTTGAACTTAATCAATCGTTGTTTATCAGTTGACTTCCACCTTTAATTAAATTAACAACTCCTGATTTTGATATAGTTTTAAATAGCAATAAGCTTAATAATAGTCATTCTTCCTTCCTTTTGTTTTTGAGGAAAAAGAATTTCACTACCGAAATTAATCTGATAATCTTGTTATGTGTCTGCTTATTAATAAATGCACTGTACTTGTTCGTGATTCGTGTTTTTAGGAGGTTTATTTGTCTGTTTTATTGTCTCTTTATGGTTTTGCGACTTCACTTTAAATTCTTTGAATAACAACAAGAAAGGAACTCTTTTTTTTTTTTTTTTTTTTCTAGTTTAATATAACTTTTGGGGTTGGGAGAGGTCTTTGAATTTTGTTTTTGTTTTTGTAAGTTCAATGGATCCTCGGTTAAGAGGTTATTCAATTTCAATTAATGGAACCCAATTGGGAAACCAACCTATATCTGTGTTTTCAAATCAGGACCTTGTTTCCAGACCCAGATTCGAAAATACTTTCGTTGATCATAACTGTAAGGAGTTTCATTATATTCCGCCCTATCCAAAGCCAACTGATGTAACCCCATATTCAAATCCGACTCAAAAAGAAGACTCTCCTGAAGATTTTGACTTTTCAGATGTAACTTTGAGGTACATAAACCAGATGCTTATGGAAGAAGATACTGAAGATAAGACTTGTATGCTTCAAGACTCTTTAGATCTTCAAGTAGCCGAGAAATCCTTTTATGATGTTCTTGGCAAGAAGTACCCTCCTTCACCAGAACCAAACCCCACTTTCATCAGTCAAAATCGAGAGAACCTGCCTGATAGTTTACCCTGCAATTACATTTGTAGTAGTCGTAGTGACAGTGGCTATGTAGATGATAATGCTTGGATTCACAATCCAAGCGATTACCATTCCTTTCAACTACAGATTCCTCATGTTTCTAGCATATCCCAATCATCATGTAGCTCTTCAAACAGTGTAATCACTACTGTAGATGGGCTGGTGGATTCTCCTAGCAGTAATTTTAAAGTCCCTGATTGGAGCGGTGAGAGCCGATCTATTTTGCACTTCAGGAAGGGTGTTGAGGAGGCTAGCAGATTTCTTCCCAGTGGTAATGACTTGTTTCTTAATATTGAGGCCAATAAGTTTTTATCTCAAGAACCAAAGGTGAGGACTGGTGAAGTTGCTATCAAGGTGGAGAAACAAGATGGGGGGGAGCACTCACCTAGTGGACCTAGGGGAAAGAAGAATCCTCATAGGGAGGAAGGGGATGTTGAAGAAGGGAGGAGCAGCAAACAACTGGCTGTTTATACCGAATCCACTTTGCGATCAGATATGTTTGATAAGGTATTACTTTGTATGCCAGGAGAAGGTCAGCCTGATTTGAAAGCTCTTCGCGAGGCCTTCAAGAGTGCATCGATAATAAATGAGCAGAATGGACAGGCAAAGGGATCTAGTGGTGGGAAGGGTCGTGGTAAGAAACAAAGTGGGAAAAGGGAGATGGTGGATTTGAGAACCCTTTTAATAAACTGTGCACAAGCTATTGCGGCTGATGACCGGAGGAGCGCAAATGATTTGCTCAAGCAGATTAGGCTGCATTCCTCTCCTTTCGGGGATGGAAATCGGAGATTGGCTCATTGCTTTGCTGATGGTCTTGAGGCACGCTTGGCAGGTACTGGAAGTCAGATTTACAAAGGCCTTGTTAGTAAGAAAACATCTGCGGCTGATCTCTTGAAAGCATACCGTCTTTATCTTGCTGCATGCCCTTTTAGAAAGGTCTCTAATTTTGTCTCTAACAAGACAATAAAGATAACGGCAGAAAATTCAACGAGGCTTCATGTTATCGATTTTGGCATTCTTTATGGTTTCCAATGGCCCACCTTTATTCATCGGCTGTCATGCAGACCAGGTGGACCGCCAAAGCTTCGGATGACTGGAATAGAATTTCCCCAACCTGGATTTCGGCCAGCAGAGCGAGTTGAGGAAACTGGACATCGCTTAGCAGCTTATGCTAAGGAGTTCAAAGTGCCCTTTGAGTACAATGCCATTGCAAAGAAATGGGAAACCATACAACTAGAGGAACTCAAGATTGACCGGGATGAAGTTGTTGTTGTTAACTGTCTGTATCGATCTAAGAACCTACTTGATGAAACAGTGGCAGTGGACAGTCCGAGGAACATTGTTCTTGATTTGGTAAGGAAGATAAATCCTGAAATTTTCATTCATGGGATTACAAATGGGGCATACAATGCTCCTTTCTATGTTACTCGATTTCGAGAGGCACTGTTTCACTTTTCTGCAATGTTTGATATGCTTGAAACTATTGTTCCCCGTGAAGAATTAGAGAGGTTGGTGATTGAGAAAGAGATTTTTGGCAGGGAGGCTCTGAATGTTATAGCTTGTGAAGGCTGGGAGAGAGTGGAGAGGCCAGAAACATACAAGCAATGGCAGGTCCGTTGCTTGAGGGCTGGGTTTGTGCAGTTGTCTTTTGACCAGGAGATAGTGAAGCAAGCAACTGTTAAAGTGAGGCAGAATTACCACAAAGATTTTCTGTTCGATGAAGATAGCCGGTGGTTGTTTCAAGGATGGAAGGGACGAATCATCTATACCCTTTCTGCGTGGAAACCTGCTAAAAGAGCTTGAGTGCATCCTTATTGGTTCTCGGGATTTGCTTCTCACTTCTTGGGTTTTCTATTGGAGAATTGGTGAGAATTTATGATCTTAGGTGATACTTGAAAATTGACTCTCTCCATCTCCGTTTATTATTACCGTTGTTGTTTTACATGTGATTACAGTTTGCTGGTAGATGATATGAATGGTTGACTGATATGCGGAATGCTAAGAACATCATTGCTTGCAGAATGAAGGCCGCGTGCTGCAGACTTACCAGATATTTTTGTATTTTGACTGAGCTCATTGTAGTGGTAACTCAGGACCATTTTTCATTTGGTAAAGCAATCTTGAAAGCTTAGTTTAATTGGGAAATGGTGCGCTTTGTCTTTTTGGCTGAGTTCTCATAGCAGTAGGCTATCTGACAAAATGAACTGGTGCGAATGCATTCAATTCACAATCACTTGTACATTATAAGCTGGAATTTTTTCTTGTGACTTTCAAGACGCATCTCTCTTTTTCTCCATTTGTCTACTCCCTCTCCTACTACAGTTTCATTAGTTTGGTCCTTGAAAGGAAAAGGACAAGGCATCGTGGAATGCTCTATATATGCATCCTTATCAGCTTTCTAAGTCCACCAAATAAGCAAAAATGCTAGTGAACTTCCTTATCTTTGATAAATGCTATAGCTCACCAGTTATAATCTATCCGAGTGCATCAAGTCTTTTACTTTATATTTTTTTATTGCATTGGACAGGATACCAATGCAAAACTTGGAAAAGTTAATAAGGAAGTAGCCAATAGATTTTCTCAAAGAGTACACCGTTCTAGAGCTTTCAGGTGGGTGTCTTGTAAGAAGCAGAGGAAGAAAAGTGTTTGAGTAGAATACTATCTTTTATTACAAGCACAACTAACAATCTTATACAGCATTCTCCAATTTAAATAGGAGAGCAAGTTACCAAACTCATGGATAAACGTGGTAACAAATCAAAGTGTATCCAGAATAAACGTGGTAACAAATCAAAGTGTATCCGGAAAGATTTTAGATGTGATGATAAATATCCTATCTTGCCTAAAGTGCTAATTTATGGGGATTTGATATAAGTTTAAATCCAGAATATGCTTATTTATCATTGTAGTTTCTTTATCTTGTCGAACCACAATCTTGAACAGAATATGTTGCTCCTGAAACGTCTTCATCCTCCAACATCTCTCCATTAACATATGCAGACTTGTGGGAATAAAAATCCTTATTCCTCTAATAGGTTGAGGTTGACTTATCACTCCACTTATCATCACAAATCATGTTATCTTGCGGGTTGCTCAGCTGGGTGTTGCGCTTACGGGGTCTGTTGATACTTCCTCGCGAAGCTGGGGCTGGAGGCAACGTTTGATCCGGAAATATTTGAGAGCTGCCTTTGACATTGGTTTAGTGAATAAGTTTGCTACTTGATCAGTGATGGAGATATCTTGAGTGGTGAGAAGTCCAAGTGCAACTTCTTCACGTAAAAAATGATAATTCAATTTAACATGTTTACTACACGCACGCATGAAATACTAAATTAATAGTCATATAAAAAGCACTAAAATTATCACAATATAGCATTTGAGTCAAGCTAGTGAAGCACGAAAATCTTTTAAGATAAATGTGATCCATGTTAGTTCAACTGCAATACTTGCCATGGCTTGATATTCTATTTTAGTGTTCAAGTGACATATGGCGTGTTGTTTTTTAACAAATCAAGAGATAAGGTTTCAACCAAGAAATAATGTGTAGTAGCATGTAGTGGAGCGTCGTGTGGTGGGATAACTTGCTCATTCTACATAAGAAAAAGCATAGAGATCAAATGTAGTGTTGGAAGTAAAATGTAAACCTATATCAATTGTTCCTTTAACGTATTGTAAGATACTACGAACTATTTTTAAGTATGTCACAATAAAAGAATGCATAATTGAGATACAAAGTTAACATGGCAAGAGAGATTTGGCTATATGAGAGTAAGATATTGTAAAATACTAATAACTTTGTGAAAAAAACTTGGATCTTCTAATAAACTCGTATTGGACATGTTTTTGGTCTTTGTTTTAAGTAATGTACTCATTGGTTTACAATCAATTATGCTAGCTTGTTCAAGGATGGTACAAGCTTAATGTGATTGTGACAAATGAATGTCATTAAGGGTTTGAGTGATTTCAATTCCAAAAAAGTGATGAATTGATCCCAAATCTTTCATTATAAATTTTGAACTTAGAACCTGAATAAAATCATTGACTAGAACAACAAAAGACCTAATAAGAAGTAAATCATCTACATAAATAAAAGTTATTATACCAAAATCAATGTGAAAAATGAATAAAGAGGGATCTGTTGGATGACAAAGAGCTATATGTCAAGAGAAAAACATTAAATTGATCAAACCAAGCACAAGGTGCTTGTTTGAACCCATAAAAGGCCTTTATAAATTTCCAGATACGTGTTGAATATTGGGGATATTAGGGATATACCGTTCTTGGAGGTTGGTCCATGTATGTGTCTTTTAAAAGTAAACCATGTAGGAAGACATATTTTATGTCAAGTTGACGTATAAGCCATTTCTGTGTAATGACAATGGTAAGAATTACTTGAATAGTTCTAGGGTTGATAATAAAAGAAATTTTTCTAGTGCAATACATTCCATCAACTTGATGGTATCCCTTTTCCACAACTTGATCTTTGAGGTGACTTAGAGACCTGAAAAGTTTAAGTTTTGACTAAAAACCCTTTTAGATCCAATAACATATATATGAGGTGTTCGATGAAAACGTTCCTAGTTCTTATTGTTGTGTAAAGTCTTAAGTTCTTCTTTTATTACAGCTTTCCATTTGGGGTGAGCTAAGGTAGATCTAATATTATAAGGATCACATGGGATATCAGATAAAGATGTAAGAGAAGTCAAGGTACATTTAGGATTGAGTTTGATAATGCCTATTTATGAGCGAATAATCATGAAGTGTGAGGAAGGTGTTTGTGGATTGTTAATATGTTGACTTTGAGTTAGTGGGGGCAATTAAAGATATATCAAGTATATGTTGAGAAAATTATATGTGAAGTTCATGTATTTCAGAGTCACTCTCAATTAGTATCAACTCTATTTTAAATTTTTATTTAGACCTTTGCGGTTCATGTTGACTTGTATTTTCTGTTTGGTAAAGAGAACTAGTAGTGGCTTACAAATCTAAAGTACAAATTGATACTAGTGGTAGAGAGATTAAGCATGATATGGATAATATTGGTAACTGAATCTCTATAGAAGAATTGATGTTAATTTAAGATAACCAAGAATAAAAATGTTATTTGACATAGAAAGTGAAAGGTTTAGTGCTTTTGTTCAGAGTATTTTCATAAGTAAAAATGATTTATTAAAAACCACATGTTTTGAGATGATTTTTTTTTTACTAGAAGGATAAAAACACTTATAACCTTTATGTGTACCATTATAACCTACAAGGATGTAAAGAAGAATTTTTGAATTAAACTTGCGTTGTCATGTATCCTAGGTGTAAGGAAAACATTTAGAACTAAAAACATATTATGAAAAGTAATCAGGGTGGTTATCACAAAGTTTGAAATATAGGATTTCAAATGTAAGAGCAGATGAAGGCATTTGATTAATGAGGTATACTATAATGGTAAATGCTTCTACCTGTAAAAAAAAAAGGTTCACCACTATGAAATAACATTGTCATACCAAGTTCTTGTATTAACCTATGATGTCTTTGAACCCTAACTATTTGTTCCAGAGCATAAGAATACGATTTTTGATGATGAATATCAGTTAAGAGGAAATGAAAGGATAGTTTAGCGTTTATGAATTCTCATCCTCCACCATAATGAAAGACCATGATGTATTTATTGAATTGTTAGAGTAATATATTGTTTAAAAGCTAAATAAATGTTTATAAAGTCAGATTTATGTTGCAAAGGTATAATCCAAATATACTTAGAAAAATCACCAACAAAACATGTATAACATCTGAACTTTCCAATAGATAAAATTGGAGCAGGTTACCATAGGTCACATTGAATTTTCTCAAAGATAAAAGAATTTGAGTGTTTAGAACGAGAAAAAAACAACCCATTAAGTTTTTTAAATTAACAACTATCATAAATATATTTTGGTTTTAATGTTTCTATAACATTAATCAAGTCTTTATTTTTAATGACTAAAGAAAAAAAATTGAGAATGTTCTAATAGTTGATGTTAGAAGTTTGTTGAACTATATATATATATATATATATATATATATATTAAAATCTAGAACTACCAGAACATCATAAAGAGGTAGAGTATTATTATTTTTTGCTTAATACTAGGGTCTCCAATACTATGAATTGATATAAAGAATCCATCACTAATAATAACCGAATCTACACTAATGTAGTTTCGAATATGGTTAAAATACACAACTTACCTGTCACGTGATTGGAAGCTTCTATGTTTCTTGGTGATGGTGTTGTCTAAGGTGAGTTCTAGAAGAGCACGAGGCATGTCATCTTGTTGTGTTGATTTTTTTAGGCATCCACCACTATATTTTTGCAATATGTCCCATTACACAATAATATTGACATTTTTATTCATCGTAATGATCTCGTTCTGCAGGAGTCATACAATGTTTAACTCGTGGTGGAGGGTGTCTTTGTTGAGAACCTGTGGTGGTGTTAGTAGGATATGAATAATTTTGTTCTTATTGTTTTTGTGTCTGAAAACCTTTCATAGTTATGTAAATCTTTGTTTGTTCCCATGGAAACCTAAGAGAGATTGGTTGTAGTGCTATTGTTTTTTTCCATAAAAAGCCATTTGCGGAGTTAATGAGTTTGAACTATTTTTCCGGTTTGAGAACTAACTACGTCGTTAGTCAAGGCTTTAGAGTTATGAGACAAGCTCAAAATATGTTGGTTTGGTTATAGCATGGTGGTGGTAAAAGTTTCATATTGGAGACGAGGACCGGTGAGTATGTAGAAGACCTTTTCTTTGTCTGGAACATCATTTTCAATGCTTGCAAGGCTATCACATAAACCCTTGAAGGTGCGACTGTATTCGCTAATATTTTTGTCATTTTTCTTACGAAGATACGTAACTTGTTGTCTTAGTGTAAATTTATATTCTTGTAAATTTTATGCAAATTCATTTTTTAATGCATCCCAAACTGCATAGGCAGTCTCCAAACCAATAGCAAGGCAAAGAGTTTCCTCCGAAAGAGTTTCCATTATCCACCCACGAAGTAGATGATCTGCCTTTCGCTAGACAATGTACTTTTCTGTTAATTTTGGCTTAGAAATTCCTGCATCTATGGTTTTGTTTGGATCTGGTAAGTCATATTTGATGGGGACAAAATCTCTGTTCGTAAGATGGTCAACCAATTCTTGGGTTTCTGCAAGTGCCAAGACTTGTTCACGCCAAGAAGGTAATTTGCAGGGCTAAATTTGAGGGTAATGAAATTTTCCACATTGAGCGATAATGAGCTCATTGTTACAGAAAAAGAATG